TAAGTAAAAGTCTGAAGAATCAATGATGCAGAATGAAAAAAGCAAACGTAAATTAGAACAAACGAGAAAAATACAGCAGGAAGGTGAAAAATAAAAAAATATATGAAATATGTGCAGTATCTATGCTGCCCCCTGCTGGTATCTGTAGGTACCGCTCCCTGTTTAAATGTGAATTTTACTTTTTCTGGCTTTATTTTTATTTAAACATAAAAATGCAGTGTTTAAAAAAAAATCAAGTAGAAGAGCCTAAAAGTAATGAAAGAATGCAACTTTCTTTTATAAAGGACAAATTGTCAGAAAATGTTTGAACTAATAAAACTGTTGTGCAACAGTTTCCTGCAACGCTAAAAGTTTCACAACTTTTAACAAAAAACACAGATTTAGATCTACAACATGGCTCAGCTTAAAGTAAATCAAACACAGATGTTTACGAAACTTCCACATCCAACACATTCCTCAGCAAAAAAAAACCGTTGTCTTCATGTTTCAGTTTTATCCCCACAGATCCCGGATCAGAGACCCGGACACAAAGAAAATCTTCAACTTCTGCCCAGCAGAAATCAAAATTGAATCAAGTTGAGAAATTCTACATCCTGTGCAAAGAACAAAGCTGATTGAAGCAGATTAATATTATTTTTGGCATTTTTCTTTCAGTTTAGATGAATAAAAACACAAACAATTTTTTATGTTTTTATGTTTCAAACAGAATCCAGAAACAGGCCCCACCAGAACTTATTAAACTTATTAATTCATTTTTTATATATATATTTGCTCGCCTTTAGCTTGTTGTAACGTTATCGTTTATCTGTTAGTAAAATATCTCATGAACCAGTGGACAGATTTCAATGCAACCTAAACTTTTGATGTATTTCTACAATTAATTTTTGGAGTCAGCCCAAATCAAGATGGCCGCCTTCTCAGAACATCAGAGATTGGATTAGTGAGAAACCTCTTCTGACAACGTCACCATTTATTCCGCATGCTAGTCTGTCTCGGATTAGCTCGTCTCGTAATGTGCCAAAGGTGTAGGTTTTTGTCACGTTTCTTCATGTACGCTTCAGTCATCTCACCTGGCTTCAGTTGTCTTTTATTAAAGTTGGGCTTCTCCATTACGACGTTGGTTTCTGGGGCTGGTACTTCTATTACGTCATCAGCTGATATGACCACGGTAGGCTTTTATGAAGCATCCCACTTCCGACACCATGTACATTTGTTTACTACAACCAGCCCCATGTAATCATATACCGTGATATTTATTAGCATCCAACAGGAACACATGCATGCTCAACCACCTCCCGTACAGACGAGCCTGTTAAACAACATTTACTCCTGAAGGGCACCTCGAGCAATTCCAACAACAGCAAGCAGCATGGACAAACACAAGAACACGGTTATCTACACACATGTGCGTGTTGAGTGTGATGCATGAGTGACCAGACCGAGCTGAACGAACTCCGCACACCAAAGTCATTAATGTTCAGAACTCTTCAGGGTCAAAACAGGACCGTCTGATTTGTTTCTGCGTGTAGGGTGCAGACGCACATCTTCAGGGAAATATTTTTCCTTTCTTATCCAGAGCACTGATATGTGTGTGACCGCATGCGTCCCGCCTCACCCCACATTTATCTGGAGAACCTGGACCTCAGAGCCACTTCACATACAGCTGAAGGGCATGGTCCAAAGACAACAGAACCACTTGAGACCCTGAGGTTCCCCAACCAGAACCCCCACTTCTCCACGACTGAGCCTTGAGATCAAGGACAGGGTGCTCTTGCTTTGGTTGTTCCAAGACCTGGATATCCCTTATAGATGACCAGAACCACCCCAGAAGATGACCAACAGACATGTGGACAGGACAATCAGTCTCTAATGTCTCCCTCAGCACCTCTGTAGGACTGCAGATCTGGTCTTTAGTCCTTTAAGGCAGTGGTTCCCAACCCTGGTCCTTGAGGAACACCATCCTGCACGTTTTAGTTGTTTTGACACACCTGATATGAAAGAACAGGTGATTAACAGACTTCTGCAGAACTTGAAGTCATTAAATCACTGGATCAGGTGTGCTGGAGCAGGGAAACAACTAAAACATGCTGGATGGCGTTCCTCAAGGACCAGTGTTGGGAGCGACTGCTTTGAGTCTCGAAAAGGTTTGAGGGGAAAGGGGGTAAATTTGATCAAATTGGTTTAAAACTGTTCCAATTATGAATAAATGCTGTAAAAAAAAATAATAAAAAGTTAAATGCTCAGACTTCCTGCTTTGATGAACCTTTCAGACAAAAAAAAAATCAGATAACTTTTTTTTTTTTAAAAACACTTTGTATTTCATCCTGATTCCTCCCTTTCGTTTTCATGTTTCTGTTTTAAATTTTAAATAAAAACCAGAGGATTCCTCCCCGACACAGAAACCTCACAGCAAATAAATCTTTTTAATTCAGAACATTCATGCGTCCGAAGGAGCTGAAGAAGAAACATGAACTTTCATTTGGACATTTCCAGACATGTGTTTCTGTATAAACACTTCTCTGTAACCAGCTGTGATCAGATAAATAATAAACTGACATATTTGAGCAACGGCACTTTGACCCGAGTGAGTCCGGTTACTCGAGACCGGCTGACGGATCCAAATATGGAAAAGAAAACGAGCATCTTCATAAAAAAACCATAAAACCTCAACTGAAAGACCCAGAAGACATCAAAGCATGATTTCATCCATTCATACATTTTAAAGGACCATTTCCTGTCCTGCTGATTTTGTTACATTTAAGTTCATCTTCAAAATTTATAAAATAAAAAACGAGGATACGAGTTATAAATTAACTTCACAGCAGAATTACAAAGAATGGATTGATAAAGGTGGAAAAAACAAAATGTTGCCTTGATTCACATTTTCACGTCTAATACTGATTCATTTTACTGCCACCTCTGAGATTTTAAAATAATTGTTAAGGATTACCATATTTTTCAGACTATAAAGCGCACCGGATTATAAGGCGCAATGAATGGGTCCGTTTTCATACATAAAGCGCACCGGATTATAAAGTGCAATAAGCATAATAAATTCATTTTGACAGATTTTTGAGCGCCGTGTACCACATAAAATGGGTTCGGGGTCAGTAAGCACAACCAGAATACGTAAGGCGCACTGGATTATAAGGCTTACTGTCAATTTTTGAAAAAATTCAAGGATTTTAAGTGCGCCTTTTAGTCCAAAAAATATGGTAGTTTTAAATCCTGTAGGAGTTAACAAAAATAAATCAATCAATCAAACGTTTGGTTGTTTTTTTGAAGCAGAACGATCCATATTTGAATAATTTGCGTTGAAAGGATTATTACTAAACATGATTTATTGAACACTGTAAAGAGCTTTTTTTGTTTATCAGAGCAAATCATTCATGGACGTTTACGCCTGAAACTGCTCAGCACTTTGACGATGTCTCAACTATAAGGCAAAGATTTTATTTATTAATTTATCATTTTAACGTTTGATTCCATTAATAAGGCATCAGACAACGACATCAAAAAAGTCTCATTTAGCATTTTGGACTCCTCGCATCATTTCATCTACATTTATGAACAAAACTAAGTTTTTTTGGCAGCAGCTGGTTTTGAAATCCTCACTCGCTTCTGTGAAGCTTTTGCAAAAAACAAACAAACAAAAAAGTTAATCTAAAAGAATTTTATCTTTTAGGGACAAATCAAAACGTCAAACGTTCCCAAACAGTCCTCAAAGGACTCATTTTATTTCCTCCCTGACCCAAAACAAAACGTCTTAACGGGTTATTTTGAAGGGAGGCTCTCTGTAAAAATGATTAATAAATATCTTACCTGTCGTAGATAGCTCTTTTTTTATTTTGTTTTATTCTGATCAAACTGATGGCTAGTCTGAACGCAGCGAATACCAAAGCTGATCAAACCTTTAAAATAACGATTCATGCAGATGCATTTTTTAATCGACTCACCATCAGTTTTGCATTACCAGTTTATTTAAAGGGGCAACAACAGCAGCAGCTAACTGTAGCACTTCCTGTGCAGCCTGGGCTCAATTTCAACAGGAATTTCTTAATATAACTATTTAGTGTCAATCACACAGGTTAAAACATCAGCTTTGGTGTGTAATATTTGTAAAGTTTAGACGATAGGAGCCGTTTGAGAACGGAAACCTGGTTTTATAAACGGACTAGCCGTTAGCTCGTCAGTATGATCTGAGCTGGGAAACATGGCCGTCCTAAAACAGCTACAACTTTTCAAATTTCTTAGTTTCTGCAAAGGCTACACTACCATTAGTTTCTAAATACACAGATGTAAAAACTCTGACCCCAGAGGTACTCCTGCTGCTATTTGCAGAAACAACCGCCATATAAATAAGATGCAGGAAACCATAGGAACCTTCAGGAAACTGAAGTTATGTCGAGACACCAGCGACCCACTTTGGTCTTCATGCTCAGCAGAACTGACGAGCTAACAGCTAGGCTGAATCTCTACAAACTGAGATCTACAACAGGTAAGATGATGATAGTGCATAGCTTTTCACCAGAACCCCACTTGAAAATGGCCAGTATATCCCTTTAAGAAGCTTTCTCTGAGCTTTCTTGAGGTTCAGGTTTCTCAGTCCCTGCAGGAAGACTAAAATTAAAAAGCGGGTATAATTCTGTACGTTATATTTCTGAGAAACCGTCGTAGAACAACTTTAAGAGAATTTAACCCAGAGTTTTTATGTAAAAATAAGTTCTGTTCAATAACTAAAATACAGTTTTTATAAAAGTTTTGCTTCTTGCTCTGTTCTTGATTTGGTATCCTCCTGATAGCTGCTGTTTAAGCAGGTCTGTTTGAACCCAAACTCCTAAAATAAAACCTTCCCTTCCGGTATCGGGACTCTGTTAGGGTCAGCAGGTTCAGACTGGTCGGTTTTTACAATCCGAGGATGATGAGGAGACCAGTTTGGCAGCAGAGATGAAGTGAAGGAGAATAACCTGACATTTATGAGTCGGTTATTTAAATGGTTCTCATTTTAATCTAAATATATTAAAGACCCTCGTTTGATTGAACCCATTTCATGTTGGGGTCGACTAGAAGAGCTTAATGTCTCATAAATTATAAACATGCAGTCTGTTACTGCAGCACTTTTCTCTTCAAGGCCACGTGTGCTCTGATTGGTTCACACAGGAAACATCTGTTTGCTTCGATCAATAGGCAGCGATCATTATGATGATGTCATTACATTACTCTCGTTAAGCTTTAGACTTTTTCATGCACACAAAATAAAGAAAACCCAAAGAAGTCCAGAGGCTGCAGGACGAAGGTTAAAAAAACTCCTCGTCCTCCAGGGCGAAGGTCGGGTTCGGGTTTCGACCTGCGCAGAAAATAATCTTGATTTCAATCAAGCGATCCGTCATCAGCTCTGTAATTAAACGTCAGCTTGTGAGAGTCTTTGAGGAACTAATTACGCCTAAAAACTTAGTACAGCTCCGTCCCTCCTGCTGTAATTAAATGAGCAGATTAGCGCTCGATCCGTCAGGCGCCGACCTTGACCACTCGAGCTCATGCCCAGGAGCTGGTGGAGAAAAATCAATGGCTTGTTTGGCCTTAATTAAATTATATTTCATATTTTTTTCTTGTGTAATACTGCCTCAGTGTGACATAGCCATCAGTCCAAATACATCAATTAAAGCTTTGTAAATAAAAAGATCCGGTGTTAAATCAACAGGAGACAGCTGGGGACTTTAAACCTGATTAGTCCCAGTAGCTGTTATCTGAACCATTAAAAATAAAATAAAATAAACGGACAAAGAGTTTGAGCTTCAACACCGGGTCAGAACTCATGGTGCTCAGCAGAAAACATGAGCGCTGAATCCGTGTCCTCTTCATCTCTGGTGTCCTTTCTTCTTCTTGTTCCTCGAAGGCGTCTTGATGGGCTGAGTGGTGGGTCCGTTTTCCAGCGGGACCCGAGGCGGAGCTGCTGGTGGAGACACCGGAGAGAAAAGGTCCGGCTCACCGTCCATACTGGATTTAAAGGGTCCGGCAGGAGAGAACTTCAAAGGACTGAAAAAAAAAAAACCAGGATTTAGAAGAAATGAAGATGAAAAGCCCGGCATGTTTCAAACTAGAACTTTTTTGAAGAAAATATAGCAATACCAATCCAAACATCAATCCATCCATCCATCCATCCATCCATCCATCCATCCATCCATCCATCCATCTAACTACTGTATATCTATATCTATCTATCTAAATCTATATCTCTCTATATATATATATAGAGAGAGAGAGATAGATCTATCTGGTCGAGTTATATGGCAAGCCAAGTATCTCCTTAATAAGTAAAAGTGGCTATTAATGAGACACTTAGCTTGCCATAAAAAGCCACCTTCATCTCGCTCCGGAACTCCTGGATCAAACGTCAAATCAGCTGCATTTCTCTGTGCCGCCCAGGCGAAATGCAGCTGATTTGAGCGGTAAAGTGCATTTATTAAGTAAAAGTTCAACTGAGATAATTTCAAGCAAACAAATAAATGTTTTTAAGTGTTAATCTTGTTAAATTCTCGTTAAAGTCCTCCCGTGCACGCTCTCGCGGCCGCCGTTTGGCAGCCAATCGATTTTTGGCACAACACCGGCCCACGTTTCCGGGTTGTCGGCGGTGACGCATAACAGATGCGACGTGTACGGCGGCAAGTACGGTAACTATACACGTTTGTAAAGTTTTTATTTGTCACCAACGTTCCAGGGTTGGTTTGAGGAGCGGACAGACACGTGACTTTTCTTACCTGATGGGTGTGCGTGGGCTGCTGTTGTGACGGCGAACGCGACGGGATCTGGGTTCGAACGAGAACCCCTCCTTCAGGCTCTCAAGGACAGACGGAGCCACGAAGGAGAAACCCTGGTGGAAAACATCAACACCGCCGATCAGTTTGGAAAAACAATCAGTGAGACGATCAAACAGACACTTAGACATCCGGAAAGCAGAGAGTCTCACAGCGAAGGCGAGCTCGGCACTGTGGCTCAGCGTGGTGTCGTCCGGACTGTCCACCGGGGTCTGACGGGTAAACCTGGTGTCAAACTGGCTCACGTCCTCCTCTGACTGCTAGCGTGAGACAAACGAGGACGAAGAGGTGAGAGACGGCGACCCAAGAAGTAAAACGGTGAAAGCAGCTGAAGAGAGGACCAACCAGCTGTGGTTTGTACGGCGGCTCCAGCCTCTTCTTCAGGAGCTCGTCCCAGTTGATGGTTTTAAAGAAGGAATGTCTCTGTAAAGAAATGAGCCACACATGGCACATTTACCGCCTGTCGATGAGCTGCTGTACAGCTAACCAGTCGTCTATACCGACACTGCAGAACAGGGCCCCGCCCATCTTCATAAACAATCTGTAACTTCTGTCTTAAAGGACATTCAAACACATCAGAGTCTGAACAGCCTTTCACCACAGCACCAATTACAGTTTGATTATTTTGACCTCATCTGGTGTTTTATTGTGTTTTATTGCAGTCACACGACTGTGATCCGTTCTTCTTCCATGTGGCTTTCAGCGCGATCCGCGTCCTGCAGTTTTCAAGCTATTCCAACAAATCATAAATCAATAAGTTCAGCTCTTTCAGGACGATCCAGCTGTGACTTTTGGTATGTGGTGCAACTTTAGGTTTTTGAAATATTTTATTATCATTTCTCATAGAAAATGAACTGAGCCCATTTTACATCCTTCACATCTTTAGATCCGTTTACAACCTTTTCCTGCTCCTTTCACATTTTGTTCTGCTTCAGCTTCTTTGTGCAAATTTATACTTTTTTCAGCTGCTCTCAGCCAATTTCAGCTGCCGTTTTTTTCAGCTGTTTGTGCTCTTTTCAGATTATTTCTGCTAACTACATAATGTGGGGGCTTATAACTTCTTTCTGCTGATTTTAGCTTGTTATTCTCCTTTCAGCTTATTTCTGCAAGTTTTACCTTTGTCTGCTATTTCAGCTACAATTTAGCTGTTTTTATACAAGATTTAGCTTTTTCAGCTAATTCCACATTTTTTAAGCTCATTTAAGCTCTTTCCACTTCTGGTAGTTGAAGCTTATTTCTACCTTTCAGCTATTTTTCAGCTATTTTGGGATGATTTTAGTTTTTTTTTTAGCTACTTTCCTACCCTTTCTGCTAATTTCTGTTTATTTAAACATGCTTCAGAAAATATGTATTCTTTCTGCCTTCTTCTGCTAATTTAGGCTTGTTCTTTAATTTCAACTACATTAGAGCAATTTTTCAGCAGGTTCTTCTGTAATAAGCATTCACACTGCACTGTCGCAGGAAATGCAATTTCTCTAGTTTGATTTATTTTATCAAGCATTTCTGTTTCTGTGGCTTGTGCATTAAATTAACCCAATGTTCTGTTCTGTATAAAAAATAAGCAAAAATAAGGAAAATGTATGTATATATATAGAGAGAGCTTAAAAAAGGTGATTTTTAAATGAAAATTATAAAAAAATTATAATTAAAAGTAAAAAATAATTATTACATAGATAATAGATTATTAATACAGCTCTAAAAACAAAGAGAAAGGAAAGTTTTTGACCGTGGTTCTCATTTTTTATATTTTACGTCTTTCTGAGCTTAATTTTATTGGCATAATAAAAGACTTATAGTAGATAAAGAGCAAAACTAACTGTCGGCTCAGCCTAAAACCTTTCTTCTCTTTCCGATTTACTTCAGTTACATTTTGGAAACCAACAACATGTTGTATTTTGGCTTCAGTAACACTTTTTTTTTTTTCCAATCATCACATCTTCTATGTTCGTTTGTTGTTTTTAAATAATCTGAAGCAGTTTTGGTTCCAGACAGATCGTGGAGTTACCTGGATGTCAGCAGAGTCGTTTATCCCTGAGCCGAGTCGTTTGGATGGATTTTTCTTCAACAGCTGGAAAAAACAACAAAGAAACATTTGACCAACTGAAGATGATCGTACGGTTAGGAAATTACTTAATTATGTTGTTTTAATTTTCATTTTAGCTCCAAACAATCACAAAAACAGAATAATCAACAAAAATTAAATAAATCTGCCATTTTCTGCTTTGTGGGCTCGTCTGCTTCTTTAATGCATCAGCTGAATATCTGTCAATATTCATAAAATTCTGAATATTTATTTAAATATTTTTATTAAAATGTTGTAGGTGAAAAACTACTTTAATTTAAAAACAATTAAAAAAAGAGCAAATTCAGATTTTAAACAGGCCTACAATATATTTGAAGTGCACTCTACTGCTTATTATTTTATCCAGGTGATACATTTAATTTACTTTAGAAGTCATTTTCCAACTTCACCGATTAATGATTTCAATAATCCAGAATATAAAACTGCTCAGAATAATCCAGATTATTTTTACAGTATTTGTAATAATCGAGCAGCCCTGTTCTTTTGCAGCCAAACTTTAAGTATTGCAGCTGCTTAAAATCAGACAATAAACCTGTTTTTAGGACGTTTTATTAACTGTAACTTTAATCTGATCACAACCGGACCGTTTAAAGTTTAATAAGTTCAAACATTTTGATTTCACACTTTGTTAAAATCGAACTTTCATCTCCGACACCGGAGGTCTTCTCAGTTCTGTCCTTAAGGGTTTGTGGGAACGCCGAACGTGTGAACGAGCTCGTTCTGATCCCCACAACAAACCACCGCCGACCGATCCAAACCCCGTCGCTCAGGGAGGTTAAACCGAAACACGAATGTGGAATTTCAACAATAAAACTTCGGTTTCTAAGTTGAAACAGAGACGGTTCCTCCGTCTGATGTGGGCTCATCATAAATAAACATCTGGAAAAGTTCAGTGGAGTTACATCCAGTATCCTCACTGCTCATTTAGTTGTCAACAAAAAGAAATTTGTGTTTTAGAAGTTGTGTTTTTGTCAAAGGGAGGGGCTAAAAATCAGCTGCTGGACAGAAGAACTATAGAAGATGGACATTACGTCATCATTATTATCATATTACATGACTAATGGGGAGGAAACTTCAGATGATTTATTTATGATTTATGTTTGAATCGTCGTCAAGTAGTCATTTTTATGTTTCATTTCAGTCGTTTTCTTCCATAATGAAGTTATTCCTGCCGAGTCGACCAGTGTCTAAAGAAACATTCAAATCTATTTTTAAAGATTACAATGACCCAGTTAGAAACTGTCCGGATGACCCAACTATAATTTTAGGATTTGGTACCTGGATGATTGAGCATGAACTTTGTTAACTCATTAAGAGGCTTTCACTTCTCGTGTTCTGAGGAATAATATAAACAAAATCTGGGTTTCCACCTGTTTGATGAGGTCTCGGGCATCGACCGTCAGGTACGGAGGGAGGGTGAGTTTACACTTCAGGATCTTATCAATCGTCTTCTTCCTGTTTCCAGCTGTGAACGGAGGCTGGAGAGACAAAAAAACAAGGTTTAAAGTTACGAACAAATCCTCCAAAAAACAACAACCACTGCAGACGTCATTTAAAGGAACTCCACGTGTCTAAGATGTTCGGTTTGACTGGATAGGCTCAAAACACTGAACTTAAAGATATGAAGCGATGAAATAAGACTCTAAAGAAGCTCTTCTGCGAAGCGGTGCCAGCTCACCGATCCGGTCATCATGTCGTACATCAGGGCCCCAAGGCTCCACCAGTCCACGGCTCTGTTGTGACCCAAGCGGCTCAGGATCTCTGGAGCCCTGCAGGGGAACAAGCAGCCCGGACAGAACAAACGCATCAACGTTAAGCTGAAAAGTTTCAACTCAACATTCGGTCCAGTTTTAAACAACTCGGCAGCATGACGGTGCAGATTCCCTGTCAATCTGAGACACGATGACCATAACAATCTGAACTGAAGAAAAACCAGAGACACGGGACCCAAACCTGACACCTGTTGGCCCAAAGAGAAGAGGAACATATTCAAGAATAAAAAATACTACCAGTAGTTGTCTTGAAAGTTTTAGGACCCCACACAAAAAAGAAAGGAATTGTTTGATCCTCCAGGGGTCTGCAACCTTTGGCTCTGGAGAGGAAATTTATCATTTTTAACACATTTACAGCAAATTGTTGAGGGAATAAATCGCAATGTGCAGCTTGAAAACATTGCACAGGTTACGATTCTGTAAAAATATGGCTGTTATGCAAACGATGAGAATTAAAGACTAAATCTTAGCCAAAGTTGATGTAATTGATGCATTAGTCAATGTTAAAGAACATTTCAGTGTCTTTTATATCACCAAGTGGGTCTCTGTGGTACCAAGCTAAGCTGGTTTAGGTCATATCTGGCAGACAGATCCACATGTGCATCAATATAGCCGGTCCTGAATCCTCCTCTGCTTCTTTAGTTTTTGGGGTTCCACAGAGCTATATCTTAAGGCCCCTGTTTTTCTCCCTTTACTTGTTAGCTTTGGATACTAATACCAGTGTCTGGCACAGCTAGCCAAAATGTTAGCTTTGCTAACAGCTAACCTGCTAACTGACAAAAAAATTGCTAATACTAAGCCGCTAAACAGGTTTGAAAAGAATTAGCGGAAGCTAACGCTAACTGAAAACAGCTAACTTTATCATACACTGTAAGACTGTCTGTAATGTGACATCATAAGTGAACACAACTCAAAACGGTTCATAAATCACAGGTAAAGCGTCCATGTCCCGCTCAGAGGTAAGCTTACAGAAATTAATCCAGACCAGTGGAACCAAAAGAGGCGGAGAAGAACTCTGCTGTGCTGAAGCAGAATGATGCATTCAATGTGTGTCGGACTTCTCCCTCATGTCATTTACTTTAATGAATTACCGGTAACTCACTTTAGCGGTCCTCTTTGCAATTAACTACTTTTATAAACTAATTACAAAGTAACTGTTATTCTCTCCGTCACAAATGATGTCATCAGTTCATCATTTGAGACAGAGCTCCCAGCTCTGCAGAAGAGAGGAAAAGACAGCGTCACTGCAGCAGGAGCGTGGAGCCTTTCGACTCGAGTTTCAGCTAATTTAGTTCTTATAATTAAACATTAGTAACGCTAAAAGATGAATATTTGTATGCACCAGATTAAAGCCAAGATGTGTGAAATGTGTGAGTCACGTCCCAGACAGACTGTGCGCTGCAAAGGATGTTAGCTCACCTTGTAGGAATTACGTTCAGTATGTAATGTTTTTGAGTGTTTGCGATGTTTCCGAGAGTGGAAATCTGTTGTTCTTGTTAATGTCCTGTTCAGGTTTGGTTTGACATTTACAGTATGTTAAAGTCTCTGTTATTTGATATAAACTGACACCATGAGTTAGAGGTTGTTCCTGGTATGTATAAGGGGGAAAGCACTGTGAGGTCAGAAGATAGTACCTTGTTATCCTGATGCATGCTCAGTACCTTGTTATGTTTTGCTTAGCATAACAGTTTTGTGTGAGTCCCCGTTCTCATGTACACATTTTTTTTTTTCGGGGGGTGGAGAGAGGTTTTTTTTAGCTGACTTAGTTATCGGAACTCAGTTTACCAGAAGCTAATTGGTCCGTCTGAGAATATGCTCCCTCAGGAGAAAATGTAGAAAATAGACCCTTAAATGATAGATTTTGTTGAAATGTATGGAAATAAGCAGACGGCATTCAGACAAGACATATACAGATAGATATATACAACATAGATATATTACAGTAGATTCTTTGGGCAGAGCCCCAGGCTTCAGGGCTCCCTGAGCTCTTGGGCCCCAGGGGGTGGTAGGCCCATTCAGTAATCCAGCCCTGCTTTTAATTAATCACTTCACTGCCTGCTGCTTTTACTGTGTGTTCACAACAACAGTTAGTAAAGCTGTAAAAATCAGAAGTAATTCACTTTCTACTGACAACAGTGACACAAATGACAGTAACACTTTATTTGAGGGGGGTGACATGAACATAACATGCATTATGAACATTAATGGCACTCCTAATGGTCATAACTGTTGTCGTAAAGTGTCAGCATCTCAAACGGTGTCAGTTTTTACATTACAAAAAACAAAAGACATTCAATGACATCAGTCATGACCATTGGAAGAGTGTCATTAATGTTCATGATGCACGTCATGTTTATGACAGGTTCATGACACCAATATGTCACTCCCTTCAAGTTAAGTGTAAACAAAATGACTAAAGCTACAAAAATTGGGAAATGAGCAACTAAATGAAGTTCAAAACTGCTAGACTTTATGAAAAATGTACGCATTTAGGCTGGAAATGAAAGGGCAATGCGCATGTCATGAACGGACACAGATATTTTAGCAGCTATGCTTTATGAGGGACAAAAGTGATTTTACAGCTTTAGTAGCTCTTGGAGCGAATGCACGATTACAGAGTCTACACATACAACAGTAATACCAAGAAAGGTCAGTAGGAGGAAGTGGTACTCCTAAGTAAACTTGGATTAGTAGCCATATGACGCTTTTCCACACGGTCTCAACTCTCATGGGCTTAGCATCCCACCGCACCAGTTAAGGGCCTGCCCACTGCCGGCACCCACCCCTACTCAGCCCGGTTTAAGGGACCACCTTGTTTGAGGTTCAGACTACTCCAAGGGGCCGACTTTGACGTAAGCAGACAGCAGGATGACCCAGAGAGCACAACAAGAAATTACATTTACCGAGAGATATCGTAGCACAGCGTGGCTACATTTGGACTTACAAGCAGTAAGTAAGCTTAAGAAATTGAAGTCTGATTATAGGGTGATGAATGGGTGGAGTGGCTCTAACACAATGACCTGTTACGATACCGCCCAAAGAGCGGGAAACAGGTCACAGTGGTAAATCACCTCCACCTGAGAAGAACCGAGAAGACGATAGCCAAGTGGAATCGCACTTATCAATGGCAAAGCGGCTTAACTTAGCCTAACCACTGACTAAAGGGCATGGACAAGGACACCCATTCATTTTTCTTAAAAAGAAAACATTGTTGCAAAATATGCACCATTTATTTCAAATACAGCTTTGAAAAAGTTACTGTGCAACAACGAACCATAGATAATACGATAATCCTAAAATTGTTTCTTCAAAACAATTAAAAGTTTAGTAAATGATGGGAAACAAATCCAAAATAGAAACCTAAAAAAAAAAAAAAACATAGCATACTTGAGAAATTTGAAAATTCAGTTCAACTACCAATAATAAAATAAAGTGCTTCAAGAACTGAAAAATAATGAGAAATAAATGGGGGGGGGGATCAGTTTTAAAACAGAATTATCCAAACACTGAAATGCAGTTTTATCACATAACGTACCAATATAACCTACCAGTATAACTGGTATTTTAGTTCCAGCATCCTTGGCATTCGAAGCGTTTATGTTTTTGCTGGTAAGCTGCAGTATTTTCACCCTACCTGCATCCTCGTCATAAAATCTAACCAGTACATTTAAACAAGTGTCCGTGGCTTCATTGACGTTGAGAAAAAAAATGGCAATCTTTAGCATTTCAGATTATTTTAAAACTCTGGTGAGATAGCGTGTGATTGCATAGCTAGCATGCTGCCTCGGACAAGTGCGTGAGGGTGATTTTATCCTCCTCTAACTTCTTACATAAACTGAAGAGTGGAGGAGCGATGGTAAATGACAGATGTAGCTCAGCAAAGAAAGAGCAGACGTGAATTTTTAAATCGGTCAGTGAGGGTGGGAAGTCTGCCGAGGCTGTTGATGGCTCCGACAGCCGTTTTATGTCTAGGGTCTGATTCGGAGATCCGGCACGGCACCGGAGTGCTATCAGCCTTACAGAGAACAGTGTTGTTAAAAAAACAAAAAGTTTTAATTTGTGTTGCCAGGTTTGTGTCTTGTTAGATAAAAATGAAGCAGAGAGGGATTGGCAGCGTGGGCGCTCGGCGACACTCACATGTACTCGATGGTGCCGCAGAAAGTGTGCGTGACGCTTCCGTCGTGGATCGACTCCTTGCTGAGGCCGAAGTCCGTCAGCTTGATGTGTCCTTAAACACAACATCGGTATGAAAAGACACCATCACAAAAACACAAACGGCCTCCGTTCCTTGTGCGGTGCGTTACCATGGTGACAGAGCATGATGTTCTCCGGTTTCAGGTCTCGGTAGATGATCCCGTTGGAGTGGAGGTGACCCAGGGCCAGAATGATCTCTCCCAGGTAGAAGCTAAACACGTACAGAGTTCAAGTTCACGACTTACAGGAACAACGAACCTACGCTGAAGCTGCTCCAAATCAAAAACCCCGTTAGCGTGCAAATATTTCACCGCTAGGAGACAACTCGCACCAGGCCGTGTCCTCCATGAAGATGCCCTCCTTCTCCAGCTGCATGAAGAGCTCTCCTCCTGAGGAGCAGGAACACAGAGTCAGAGATCGCTCCTTCGGTTCTTCATCGGCTGAGTCATCGTCTAAACGGACTTCTTTTTGGGCCGTCGATACGTTAGCAAACTTTCAGCTGTTTTAGCTGCTCAGATGTCGAAATGTTCAGCACGTTCAGGACAGTACAGCCAGGACTTTTGTTTATTATAACTTTTAGACTTTTTCAAACATTGAACTTTATATTTTCATCTGGTTGAAAATTATGTTTTTTAAAACTTGGTGCACTTTAAATCCACATCAGCATATTTGCTCCATCTCCTCGTGTCCTTTTTGTGTCGTTTAATGTTTCCAGTTTGTCTCATGTTTCTTTTCATCTTTTATGCATCCTTTATTTATTTATTTTTTATTTGTCCTTTTTGTCTATTTGGGCGTCCTTTTGTCATTTTGTGCCTTTTATGCATCCTTTGTCTTTTTGTGTGCCCTGTTGTCTTTGTCTTTTTTGTCTGTGTGTTTTTTTGCCTTTTGTGTGTCCTTTTTTGTGTCATTTTGTGTGTCCTGTTGGTAATTTTGTGTGTCCTTTTGGTAATTTTGTGTGTCCTGTTGGTCATTTTGTGTGTCCTGTTGGTCATTTTGTGTGTCCTGTTGGTCATTTTGTGTGTCCTGTTGGTCATTTTGTGTGTCCTTTTGGTCATTTTGTGTGTCCTTTTGGTAATTTTGTGTGTCCTGTTGGTCATTTTGTGTGTCCTTTTGGTCATTTTGTGTGTCCTGGTGGTCATTTTGTGTGTCCTTTTGGTCATTTTGTGTGTCCTTTTGGTCATTTTGTGTGTCCTGCTGGTCTTTTTGTGTGTCCTTTTGGTCATTTTGTGTGTCCTTTTGGTCATTTTGTGTGTCCTGTTGGTCATTTTGTGTGTCCTTTTGGTCATTTTGTGTGTCCTGTTGGTCATTTTGTGTGTCCTGTTGGTCATTTTGTGTGTCCTGTTGGTCATTTTGTGTGTTGTGTCCTTTTTGTCATTTTGTGTGTTGTGTCCTGTTGGTCATTTTGTGTGTCCTGTTGGTCAATTTGTGTGTTGTGTCCTTTTTGTCATTTTGTGTGTCCTGTTGGTCATTTTGTGTGTCCTGTTGGTCATTTTGTGTGTCCTGTTGGTCAATTTGTGTGTTCTGTTGGTCATTTTGTGTGTTGTGTCCTTTTTGTCATTTTGTGTGTCCTTTTTGTCTTTTTCTGCATCCTTTTTGTCTGTGTGCATCCGTTTTGTCTTTTTGTGTAACCATTTTGTCTGTTTCTGTTATTTTTATCTCCTTGTGCTTGTTTTTGGTCAATTTGTGTTTTGTTTCTTTATAATTTTTCCTTCTGGTTTTTCTGTCCGTCTTTCTGCTCATTTTGATTAAAATATTTTACCTGAAATTAAAACTCCAACTTTTATCCAACTCACTTTTAATTTTTTCCATCAAAGTCAATGAGCTTTTTCTATTTTTTGTTCTCTCTTCCTAACAAAACCCCGTCTCCCTGAGCCAGTTCATGTCGTCCATCGTTCCCGTCTCACCGCTCAGACACTCCAGGATGAGGTAGAGCTTTCCTCCGGTCTGGAAGGCGTACAGCAGGTCCACGATGAATGGGTGTCTCACTTTCTCCAGGATCTCCCGCTCTGCTCGGGTGTGCGCCGTGTCTTTAGCGTTACACACGATTTTAGCCTGTAAGAGAC